TTTTTTTTTTTTTTTTGGTATTGGGGATCAAACTCAGGCCCTTGTGCTTGCGAGGCAGGCAATGGAACCACTGAGCTAAATCCCTGGCCCAGCACTTTTTCGAACTTGGGATATAGCTCAGTGATACAGGGCTTGCCTAGTGTGCGTGTGAAGTGTACCGATTTTGTTCTTGACAGGATGGAATCAAGAAAATGAAAGCAGCATCCACAGGATTGGGAAAAAAAATCTGCAAATCTTATTTCAGAGAAAGGACTTATGTGTCATATAAATACCAAAAAATTACAAAAAGACCACCCAGTTCAAAATCAAACAAAGGATTTGCACGGGCATTTCTCCGGTGAAGATGTACAAATGGCCAAAAGGAACAGGAAAATACATTCAGCGTCATTAGTCACCAGCGAAATGCAAATCCAAGGCAGGAGTTACTACTTTATATTCACGTTGATGGCTACACTCAAAAAGTCAGATAATGATGAGTACTGACAAGAATGTAGAGAAATCCAAACCCCCATACAGGAACGACCAATGGTGTAATTGCTTTGGGGAAAAAAATCTGGCAGTTCCTCAAACAGTTAAACATAAACTTCCATATGTCATCTCATTCTGAGGTGTTTTTCCAAGGGAAATGAAAACATATGTCTACACCAACACTTGTACATGTATGTTTATAATAGCATTCTTCAGTATACCTTCAACAAGTGAAAACAACCCAATGTCCCCCAGCTAATCATCGGGTAAAGAAAATGTGATATAGCCTTTACAGTGGAATATTATTCAGCCATAAAAAGGGAATGAAGTACAGAAAATGATAAAGCATGACAAAACCTTGAAAATGGTGTGCTAAATGAAATAAGCCAGTCACAAATAACCATATGATTCCCCTTCTATGAAGTATTTAAAATAAACAAAGCCATATAGGCAAAAAACAGATTAATGGTTGTGGGCAATGGGGAAACTCAGGGTGACAAAATAGGTCAAGGAGTCCTAAAGGGTTTCTTTGGAGGTAATGAAAATTCTGTAAGGTTTAATGTGGTGGCATCACAACTCTCTGAATGTGTTAAAAACCATTGAAACAAATACTTGAAATGTGTGAACTATGCGATTTGTGGATTATATCTCAATACGTATAGCAAAATGTAAAAGAAAAGCTAGAAGCCTTCAGTCTGAGCCTGCATTTATGGAACTGCCCAACCTCCATTACAAACATGTGTGAGAAGCAATTTCATTCATATTAAGCCACCAAGATTTGAGGATTTAGCAGAATCTGAACGAATGTACTATTTCAATCTGGGCTCTGCTCTAACTGCTGCCTTAGTTCAGTGGTGATCTCTGGGTCGCTTCTGAGTTCTCGTCTTCTGTGACTTCTCAGCTGCTGTATAAGCTATGTTATCCTCCTTCCTCCAGTCTCTGCAACATTGTCAGTCTTCTCCTCTTCGGATTTAACTCCTATCTCTGATCCCAGCCACCTTTACTTTTTTTTTCTTTGGAGCTTTTGTTTTGTTTTCCGAGGTAGTGCCTTGCTGTGTGGTCCAGGTCAGCCTTGAACTTACCATCTGCGTAGCTCTGGCTAGCTACAAACTCACCACACGCCTGCCTTAACCTCGAGAGCACTGGGATTGCAGGCAGGCAGTGCACCCCACCCGGCCCACTCAGCCACCTTGTAAGTCGTGTATAACTCTCTTTCCAGGCACTAGACATTGGCCTCCCAGAGCCCTGCCTGGGTTCTCTCCTCACTCCCTCCATCCAGGGTGATTTCTCTAATCCCCCCACCACTGGTTCCAATGACCATCCGGGGCTGCCGACTGACAACTTTCTCTGTCCTAGAGAGTAAGCGGAGAACCAGACCACATAGACCAAGTGGTACACAGTGCCGGGGACGCTTAGCGGAGGTAACTGAGGAACTTGCATTTAAATGGGTCTTAAACTAAATGGAGCCTTGAAAAGCAGCCGTTCCCCATGAAGAGGGAGCTCCCACAGCAAAGACACAGATGGAGGGCCGTGTCAAAGAAGGGCTGTTTCAGCAGGGTAACTGCAGAGGTGTGGACGGGATCTTGAGTATTGTGACTGAAAGGGTGAGCAGCTCCCTGGTCACAGAAGGCCCTGGAGACAATTTCAGAAGTCAGGACTTTACGAGACAAGCATGGTGGGTCCTGGGACAGTTCGAATACACAGGTGAGAGAGCGGCAGAGATAGGCAACCCATTGAGAAGTCACTGCAACAGCCGAGGAGAGATATGTTCTAATTTCTCTCCAAATGTGTTTTGCTGACCGCAGGATGGGAAGGAGAGACAGCGGAGAGAGAAATCACACGTACAGGGTGTGTTTCTTGCGATGAGTGATAGGAGGATGTTAAAGATCATGCAGAGACAGTGAGCCTCAGGGAGTACCACGAACAGGATTCAACAAGTTTCGAGTTAGAGACTTGACGGTCAGGAAAATGAGCAGGTTCGATGGCACAGGGGAGAAAATTCTTACTGTGGACAATCATATAATACACTTTTTCATTGTGGGGAGTAGGACAATGAGAACACTTCTCACGCTTGAGGCTCAGGTAAATGCCTGACCACCAACAATGCAAGATGCAAAAACACAAACTTTCCTAGGAACACAAGCACACTGAACGCTAGGTTGCCCTTCACAGTCAAGGATGTGGCTGCCCCAACCTCGGCCCCTACCCCGATAGCGCGGTCGCCTATCCTCACTGCCCTGCCGTCTCTCACAGGGTCTACTCCAGCACAGGTCCTTGCACCGCTTCTGCTCTTGGTAAACTCTTACCACTCACATGGCTGTCCCTCCATATACCCTCCAGCTTGGTGTCTATGTCGGGTGTGTCTTCCCTTTCTGGGGCACACGTCCTTTTACTTGCTCATCCAGGAAGCCTCAGGCTTGGATCTGTAGAGACCATGTAGCAGGGCAGAAGCTTGGGCGACAGCTGGCCTGGTCCTGTGTCCTTCCAGAGGCCA